ATTTCAGCCTTCTGAACATGGAAATTCTGCTAACTTTCCTCCTCTCTGTAGGCGCAATAAGCAATGAAGTCGTGGGAGAGATCATATCGGTAAGCAGTTTTCAAGTTTATAACAGAATTTCTTTTTTTGAAAATACTCCATTCAGGCGCTGAAACTCCCCTTCAAAGAAGTAAGACATCTTCAGGTAGCCTCAGAAATGGAGATACTTACAAATCTCCCCTTTCACAATTTGGTAGGTCATGCTTTTAGCAACATAGACAATTGGCGTAACTTGATTTTGTAGGTCTGCTCTATTACAGGGTCGGCTGCCTTTAGAAGAACGGATGAAACAAGCCGTTTGTCCTTTGAACAAGAAATTATTCTCATTAATGCTGAAGAAAAACTCAAATCTTTGTTTGGCGCTAGACTATACTGAATCTGAGAAAATTTTGCAGGTCTGCCATACGGCAATTATTCCTCCTCATAATCATTAGAGAAATTTATTTTATAGCTTGCTGAAAAAGCCGGTCCGTTCGTCGTAGCCATAAAAGTCCACGCAGACGCAATCACAGACTTTTCACAAGATTTCACTACAAAGCTTGTCAGATTGGCAAATGATCACGAGTTTGTCATTTTTGAAGACAGGTTTGTTTGAAGCCCTCTGTTCACCAAGAGAAAACAAGATTGCGGTTAAAAAGGTGTTTTTGCAAATGCTAATAAGTGGCAATACTAATAGAAGTTGACTATCAGCGAAGAACGTGTAGAACTTATGATAAAAAGAGGCGTGGTTTTGTTCACACCCCCTTCCCCTCCTCGCCTACCTCTACAATTTATGACAACCACCACTTCTGATTTTGGACTATTATTAAGTAGCCCTTATAATAGCAGTGGTGCCCCATTTATGGTCTAAATCTAACTCTTTCGAACCGGGAAATGGCAAAGTTTTTGGTTTTAGAAAGTTCGGAGACACCGGGAATACTAACATAATGCAGCTGAAAGGAGCGCAACGCATAGCAGAATGGGCTGATGTGGTGACGGTCCATGCTGTACAAG